ATCATTTATTTTTGATTCTGATGCTGATACTTTCTCTTTTGCTGTATCTAATACTATTCCATAGTATTTTGCTTTTTGTGTAGATTTTAAATGCCCTTTTTCTGCTATGACCAGTCCATAGCATTTTAAGTCTCTAGTATTAATAAATCTATTATTTCTAATAATCACTCGTGTGAGAGGTGTTTAACCCAAATGTCATTTATATGGTTGTTACAGAATATTCCTTTTGACCTCCAATGCCCTATTAGGCTTTCATTAACTTGGAAAAAATCCAAACTGCCTGACTTAGCCCAAAAGGTAATATCTGATAATGATACCAACTTGTTCCTATTCTGAACTCAATAACCTTTATGCTTTTTGATCAATTAATATATAGTGATAGCAATCTTTTAAGTTCAAGACAATTATTCACCAATTTCATCCTACTATTCTCAAAAAGGTTGCAAGGCCCTCAAATTTGGATGGCTTTACTGGTAATGTCTTGTTTAATCACCTAAAATCAATAATTAACTGCCATTTCTTTTGCTCTGGTTTTAGTACTAAAAATATAAGGCTTACTTCTAGTAATTGACTTGGTTTTGCCTTTTCTTTTGCTACTAAAACTATGACTCTCACTTCTAATAAACAATTTATCTCTACATTTATCCAAGAATATTAGTCTTCTGTAAGAGGATATTGGGGTGGATCTGGTTGGATTGTTAACTCTAATAATCCTCTTGAAAATAATGGAATGCTTTCTTTTAACTATTTTATCACTAAACTCGATGCCTGTATTTTTCTGACCAATAATTTACATGTTCTTCTATATGTACCCAACCTACTACTGATATTTTTTATTGCATCTGAGCATATTCACTCATATTTGGCATTGTCTTGCTACTTATTGTATCTATTTCTATAGGCAGCATAACCTCTTGATTGATATCCAGTTTGATTGTTGAATTGTTGATTTGGGGTTTTATTTGGGTCTAAGGTGCAAGTTTTTGTGAAGTGACTATAATCTTTACAGATGTAACATTGGTTCTGGTTTGATGTAGTGTATCATTGCATTTGATTGCTAAAATAAAAAAACTTATTTGCACTTTGAAAATTGCTTTGGTAGTTACTTTGATAACTATTTAGGCAATTATTTTTTTCTTGCAGCTCTCTTAGCCCTTTTCTAGTATTGTAAGTTTTTTGTCTCTTATTTCTTTTGACCTCTGCTATTGCTTTCACCTTTTCAATTAATGAATCTTTACCTTTCAGCCAATTATCTTGAACATTTGGCAATGCTAAGACTATATCTCAACCAAAGCCTTCAGCTACTCTCAATGTAAACATCCTGTTCTCAGTTTTTTCTCTAGCAATATTAATATGGTTTGTGATATCAGTTGTTGTTCTGAATTCCATTGTTATGTCAAGTTCCTTTCTGATAGACCGCAACACATCATACTCATGTTGATTCTAAGATTTCTCAAATTTATGCTTTGATCAGGATTCTTTTATCTCAGCTTTTTGTTTTGTTTCTTGTACTTGACATGTTACTGCATTTAACTTTTTATCAAATTTTAACAAAATATTCTCTAATTTTTCAAATCCTAACAACACTTTATCTTCTAGAGAACCTGAGAGAACTTCTTTTATGAGTGACTTTATTTTTCTTGTTTCTCTGTATATTTGAGATTGACAATCAGATATCTCTTCTATATCTCTTGGTAATTCATCTAATGGTATATTCCATGTTGTGCATTTTTTACTTTGTAATAAGTTATTTAGTGTTTGCATATATGGTTCGGTGTTTGCATTCAATGTAGCAAAGACTTCCGTTTGTTGGCTATAGACTATTGAAGCATTATCAGCAATTTTTTGCCACAAGGTATTAGACCTGCTAATGCCTTTTCTTTTCCTTTCTCACAGCTTATAACACCTAAGTATTCCTTTAATTTTTGGATTAAGTTCATTTTATTTCCTTCAGTTGGTAGTTCTAGACTACTGCATATTTCTAACAGGTCATTCTTTGATAAGTTCAATTCAGTCATATTTGCTACTTAACAAAATGCTATATACAATAGAGCCAGATAAAACAATTGAGCAGTGAAAGAATCAAGTACTTCAGTTCATTCCTTAATTCTATTTCCTCAAATTACTATTTATTGTCCTCCTTCTGATTTCTTTTATCTTTCTTATTTTGTTTCACATTTTTATAAGTGATTCTCATAATAATAACCCTTATGCTGACTACGTCAGCTCATGGGTCATTCTAATTTAAATATGAATGTGAGTCTTTATCATTATAACAATAAGTTTTAAGAATTTCTCATTTTCTTGAATGTGTGTCACGCTCATGGCTTAGCAAAAATTCTTTATATTAAGGTTAGAGGTCATGTTTAGGAATTAGAGAGAAGTAGTTTATACAGTAAAATTTTCAACAAAAAAGCTTTTTTTAGAACACTAAAAATAATTACTTATTCTAATTTTTGAGTAATAAGTAATTTTTGACAAAATGAATAATCACCACAAATATGTTAAACAAATACTTCATATGAATCAGTTTTTAATAAAACATTAAGATCTTCAAATGACTCTTCATTATGTTCTATTATATGATATACATCTGAACAATGAGCCAAGATTATTTTATTATCGAGAGAAACTTCTAAAGCTTTATTTAAGTCTATTAAAGATCATTCCTAGTAACTAAGAGAATAATAATCAATTCTATCAGCCTTTAGCAATACAATTGAATTATTAAAATCAGAGATAGATTCTTTATATCGACTTAATATTTTATATATTTTTGCACATTCACTTAAAGAGACTTTATCAACAAGTCTGATTTTGTAATTGCACATTATTTTGTTTATGATATCTTTCAGCTCTAATCGAATTTATAATTTAGTTTGCTTTATTTCTAATGCACTTGTAAAATTATCTAAAGATTCTTGATTTTGAATTAAAATCATAAAATTAATCTGTGAATCATTAATAATCTAATATTATTTGGATCATTTTCTAATAAACTGTTTATGTCTTCAAATTTGTTTTGAACTTGTTTATATTCAAATTAGCTTCAATACAACTTAACATTATCTTTTTACTGTTTGGCTCAGCTTTTAATCCTTTATTTAAATCTACGAATGCTTCATGGTATTTATTCAATTTTAAGTAAATTTTTTCACAGATATTTATTGCATTTAAATTATTTGGCTCAATTTTTAATGCTTTATTTATATCCTAAAGAGACTTGTTATATCTCTTTTTATCATATTAAATGACTGCACAAATGAGTAATAAAGAAATATTGTCTTGTAAATCTTCTAGTACTTGTTTTTTTTTTTAACAAATTGAGAAGAATTTCATAATGTTCAATTTCATAATTATTGTAAATTAATTGATAACTACAGTAGAGTTTTTATAATTATTAATAACCTAATTAAAATAATGTTAATACAATAAATAAAATATATTTCTTCGATGTATTACTAAATTACATATGAATAACCTTGATTTAAAATAATTTCATCA